CATAGAAGTGCTATAACGTTAATATCCTGTGCGTTTTCGTGCTCTTCGATTGCAATCGTGTCGAGGCCGAAAAATCTCCGTATCAAGTCTTTGCTTGCCGTTGAATCATCCGCAAAAAATCTTCTTGGCTAAAAGGGTGTTGGAGACGGCTGGTTACTTCAACCCAGATAAAATTGGTTCGAATCTGGTGTGACAGGGTAAGTCCGGATGGTAACTTTTCGTTCAGGTGGAAGTCCACGATACGCCACTAGTTATCGATTCCATTTTAGTGTTGCCAATAAAATGTTCCAAAATTTGGGGGGCAGCCGTATTTTTATCAGCCTACTATCAGTTTTCAAAACGAGTCTCGTTTTCGTTCAATCAGTCAAGAAAAAATCAAACATTTTGAAAAAAGCAGGCTTCAAAGCTGCTCAAAATTATGTGTCCACCTGAAGCTTATACTTATTGAAGCAGAAGTTACTCATTTGAGAGCTACTTAGCTTTAAAAAATTCTGAGTAGGTGCACATTCGGAAGTGTTAAACAGTTGCTTTAATTAAGCTCTGTCGTATCTCCAAAAAAAAAACAAAAACTTTTTGCCTTAAAAATGCTTTGTCATGTATTTCGTTTCTGAATGTACACCTACCTAAAGAAAGTGCTTTAATAAGTAAAACGTCAGGACCTATAATTTAGCAGCTACCTGTTTTTTCATAATTTTTTATTCGTTTTTGAGTAATTAAACGAAAACGAAACCAGCTTTGTTGAGTGATAGTAGGCTAGTAAACTCAAGGCTGTACTAAATTTTAGAACATTTCACTGACAATGGAGCGATTTATGTCATTTTTCAGATTAGACTTATATTTTGCACAGCAATGCATTAGGTTGGTCCGAAAGTTCTTCCGCATCATTTTCAGAAAATCATAACTTTTTTGCCACTCTATAAAGTTTGAAATTATATCCATTTGAAAGTGGAATCCATGCTTTTTGGAGCTGTACCTTCGTAGGAGTTACTTTGAGAAACTACGAGAATTACGAGCAATTGAAGGAAATCAGTCAAGATTGGCATTTTTCGAGCTGGGTCACGAAAAATTCTGAAAGTATTTTTATTTAATAGAGAAAATTGTTCTCATTGCAGTGGTTTCTTTCGTATGAGTTACAACGAAAAAGATCGAGAGTTAAGAGCAAAGAAAGAGAATTTCTTCGGTTTTGCAATTTTTGAGCATGCTTAGAAAAGCCTAAAAAGGTCACAGCAAAGACGAAAAAGTCATGAACATGGGTTTTGTGACCTCCTCTTTCTAGCTGAGCAAAAATCGTGCCAATCAAGAGCAATTTTGTTTTCCCTCATTTTTTCGGATTTTCGGGCCTGCGTTTTTCACAAAAAACTAAAATTGCTCTCGATTGGCACGATTTTTGCTCAGCTAGAAAGAGGAGGTCACAAAACCCATGTTCATGACTTTTTCGTCTTTGCTGTCAAACCGGAGAAATTCTCTTTATTTGCTCCTAACTCTCGATCTTTTTCGTTGTAACTCATACGAAAGGTACCATTGTAATGAGAACAATTTTCTCTATCAAAAAAAAAATACTTCCAGAATTTTTCGTGGCCCAGCTCGAAAAATGCTAATCTTGGCTGATTTCCTTCAATTGCTTGTAACTCTCGATGTTTCTCAAAATAATTCATGGCGTAGGCACAGCTGTAAAGAGCATGAATCGCTCTTTCAAACAGATGTAATTTGAGCGAAATCCATCGAGTAGCAAGGAATTTATGATTTTTTGAATATGATGCGCAAGAACTTTCGGACCAACCTAATATATTACTATCAAGTTAGGTTATGAATATATGTAAAGTGCCTGAGCCCAGGCAAAAACTCAGTTTCAATTTTTTTGTTTTCTTAAGCATGTTTGCTGAATCCGATGTAAGAACGACGAAGACAGACTTCCCTCAAAGCGTCATATCTGAATTTGGACGAATTTGAACTATTGCCGTCTCGACTGAGACTTTGAGTCTGTAAGACCCCAAATCAACTGCCGCAACATGATTTCTCTGCCACCAAATCCATACGCGGGGTGCACAGGGTGTAACTCTCCCAGCTTCCAGAGCGTTCGTTCTCACTTTGTAATTTCGCTCTTGTCGGATGGCATGTTCGAGAGCATCCGCTTTCACATACCACTGAAAACCAACTACCTTCTTGCCCGGACACTGCCTGCAAGTACAACAAACCACTACCAGGGGTTTGTGTTTAATCATGATTGTTTTCTCAATATCACCGTACTAGCGTCGTTTTTTTAAAGTGTATAGCAGTGTTATATGCATCAGCAATGGCCACACCAATTTTACTATGACCCTTTTAGTGTGCAGATATTCATACCAAGTTTTTATTACCTTGAATGTGACAACATTGAGTTGAAACGTAGGCGCTAAGATGCAAGCGTTACATATTGTGATGACCCATTTTAGCTCTATGAAATTATCTGAACTATTTGAAGTTTTTGCTCTCTAAATGTTACATATGTGCCTTTGAGTTAGATGGTAGTGCCAAAAGAATTGTTATGATCATTTATTTTTCCGTCGCGATGTGGAAACGTACACACTGGAATACACAAGGATACCATGTTTGGTCGACGTGGCCTTTCTAGAGACGCTTTATGTCATCTTGGAGAGCATAAAACGCTGATTTCAAATCTGCCCTCCTTATCTGCGAACTTTCATGGATCAAGGGTTATGAGCGTCTGATGTTGTCGTAAGTTTGTTTAGCAGCGCTTGGATGAAGCCGTGATGATTGTCAGAGCATCTTACTTGCTGGATCGCCTGGGTCGCGGAGATGTGAATTTGTTGGCGGGAAACGGGCCCGATTTGATCTCTTAGCATGGTATAAATACGGATAGTCAGGGAAGAGCAGCCAGAGCATGAAGGGAGCGCTCCAGGGAGTTTAAAAGAGCCGTCGAAGAGAGGCGGACCTCCTTTCTTAGACAGATAGAAATAGAAAACCCTGCTGAGTGGGTCAAATCGAATCAGAGGGGCCCGTTGTTGTCGTTGTGTGGTCAAGTTGTTAAATTGTTCTGTTCGTTGTTACCTTAGAGATAAAATATCTTCACTTTAACCGTGTCTTTCGTAATTAATCCGCTTAAAACCGTTAATACCACTAGACAACGTCTGTTACATATTTAACAAACACTTTTAGATATAAGGACTTATCGCATTCAATTGCTTTATTTGAGGGATAGTAAAAATTTAGCAACTCACTCCATATCACATGCACATTCAATTTTTTGCTCCATCAAACGCTCATAACTCTTCGTCCACAAATAATCCTCAGATAAGAAAGAAAACTTGGAATCAGAGCTTTATTGCTCTTCAATATGTTATACTTCGCAACTAAAAAGGCCACTTCGACTAGACACGGTTACCTCGTCAGTAGTTTGTGCTGATCGCAATAATGAATGAATCATCGAACGACTACGGTTACTATATATACACTCGACTGCGAAAATGCACCACTAGGTGCCAAGCACCAGGGGAGTCTATGAGAGCAGGCGCGCAGAAAAAGAGTTCAAAAACTAAAAGAGCGCTGAGGATCGATACCGTGAAAGCCGATAAGACTAAACAGTTGAGTGTAATACATAAATACATTACTCACCAACAAAATTCATCAAAAAAGTGTAGTTTGCAGTAAACGTGTAGTGCTTCAATACTGAGCATGGAGTCGAAGCAGCCAACACTTGGCTTGGAATGCTGGATGCTTTTCTATTGCACAAATTTTGACTAGGAGTATCCCTGCTATGTCTAAATTACTGTGTCTGTAGATTGTCCGTTGAGTTGCTCAAATTCTTAATTACATTTTGTAGACTGCTAGAACGTGTTCATCGTGGGACCAATGACAAATTCATTTTAAAAAAATTTGAGAATAATCATTTTATACCTTTAATTTGAGGGACAGCATTTCCGTACCTGTATATAATGTCTTGCTTTTTCAGTGTGGTAAGTGGTGCTATAGTTTATTAGAAAGATATTTCTACACAAAATCCGAAATCGATCAAGGAAATTTGAAATCTATAAGTACTTGCACAGACATTCGGTCAACTCAAAATCTCATTGAAAATGGAGCCACGGCAGATCCAATATTGAAGTCAGTTTTTTAAACGAATCCGATGAATGCAAATTCTTCGTGGTGATCGAGTTTTCTATGAGTAGGCCATAAAAGCAAGACCGAAAATAAAACCAAATATAATTGCGCGGATTGGCGATTTCACCGACCGAATTCCAAAAACCACAATTTGTTTTGCCTCTATCAGCGTTCATCACCGCTATAAACCGTGATTTCAGCTTCAAGCACCAATAGAAAGCGCATAATCCTTCTTTTTCGAAACGTATCAGAGTTTCGAGATAAACGAACGAAACACAATTTCTAAGTTTTGCAAGATCTAAGTGCAAGAGCTGTTTACCAAATGACACAGAGGTTGAAGTGAACATTACAGCGATAGTTATCTGCAAGTAACATGCGTTCCAGCACATACAGAACATGATCTTTATCAATCTATGCATTTCATATCACTTTTTTTCTAAAAATAAAAACTTTCAACGCCTTAGGAATAAAGGAAAACCAAGTGCTTGCTTTATTGGTCAAAAATGGTGCCGCACCGATTCATGTGAGTACATCTCACCAATAAAGGAAGTACAAAACGTGTCGTGTTCACTCCCTTCTTCCGGAACTATTCATATACTTTGATCAGCGCATCCCCTCCCCCCCCCTCAATTTAGAAAAAATAGACCAAATATTGAGTGATCTTTCGGCCCTGATATCCCTTCTCATTGATAGTTGAACGGCAATTTGTGAGTGCCGTAAAAAAATTTCTTGTATGCCGTGCCAACAAGATTCGCTGTAATTAACGCTATATGCAAAATACATTGATTGTTTGTTTGAATGGTATAAAATGAGCCAACGCTAATGTCATCTCATGAAAAATGAACTGCCTTGTATTCATTTTTCTTTCTCTGTTCTTCGCTATTGGAAGCCGCGCAGTGAGCATGTCTTTTGACAATTGCTACGATCAGTGCCATGCAGCACTGACTAAGGTGAACACCATTCTATTATCTTCGATATCTTTAACTTTTGATGAAATCTAAAGCTGCTCTAGTTTTTTCTGCAAGAGAACAGCTGAATATGGAGTTTGGCAACAAATTTATTTCCAGTAATCTACAGTTGAACACTGGTAACTGTGGCCTTAGTTTTGTGCGTTATTGCATGACATCAGATGAAGCACAGTACCGCCCATCATTCCTCAAAAACGTCGCCAAATTCCCTTTGACCGCGTCACATCGTTCATATCTTGGTTTCGATATTGAGGGAAATAGAAGGACTCCATTGTAAAGTCGACTGCACTAAATGGCCCACATCGCAGTCTGAATGAGCGAGCGTGAAGTGCGCGGCCACCGATAGCTTGAATTACAAAGCGCAACTGCTAAACGTAACCTGATGGTCACTGATTTAGCAGCGCGCTGGATACGCACGCTGGCATTTAGCTTAAAACGAAAAATGGGCGATTTCTAGTCGACCATACTTAGCTCGTTCAGAAATCTCCCGCGCTGAATCGGGATGGAAACTGCTGCGACGCAATTGGTGAACTGCGGTGGAGCGCAAAGCGCAGTGCTTTTTGACGAATTGTGAGCGGTATTTTATCACAACTTTTCTCATTTGTTAAAGTCTTCGCATTTCTATCCCAAAATTTCGCCTAATTTCTGGCACAGTTACGAAGAATTGCTCCCCCATCATAAGCGAATACTGAGAAGGAAGGGACTCGAAAGCACCACAGCCTTTCCTTATGCCAGTATTCGATTCTGCGTTCGCTACCTGCAACGATGTTTTCTGAAAGAAAGTTATGAACTGGTTTCCAACGAATTTCTTGGTACCAAAAATCGAAAACCATAGTTTTTGGCTTGCCGGTTCTACATCACGAGGCAACATCATTGATGATCCGCCATATATTCAGACTAGTTAATTTAGGTTTAAAGAACGAAAGAAAAAAATATTGCATTTCTGTTTCAGTTCTTCAAACAGCGCAACTCTGCCAAAACCTACAAATCTGCTATAAAGCGCTTTGCAAATAGCGAGCGTAGATTTGTATTCAACTTTTTAAGACAGTTATCTTTACACACATTCTTATGCAAAGGCCACGGTGACCTTGATTTATTCCTTTGTGAAAATTACACGAAGCTGAGATTGTGGAAAAAGAAAATATTACACGAAGCTGAGATTGTGGAAAAAGAAAATAAAGTATTTTTTATCCTATAAAAATGCCATTCTTCCTGAGAGATTGAAGTGTTGTTATTATCTGCAAAGTTTGAAGGTCCAAATAATTTTCGAATTACGTGAACATTCTTAGGAGAACAAATTCGACGAGGAGACCAAGCAGTTCACGTGTTACAAGAAGTGCATGCGATATCGGACAAAAGAAGAGAAAGCACGCGATCGAAAAGCAATGAATGCATTAGCAAACCTTGTAGCGAAGTTTCAGCGAATGTTAAATTCGGCAAACTGAAATAAGAAACATCAACTTGTGCAGATCGCAATAAAGGTTTTACATGGTTAGAAGGTGTGTGGAAGTTGTAAATCTAGCCAACAGTATGACATTAATTTTTTAGCTGATGCAAAGCATTATGTAGAGACGTTAGTAAGTTAGTTTCCAGCGTACAAAATCGTAAGTAGAAACTCAAGCGTCTCCAAGTTATTTTGAAATTTTTGAAAAAATTTTATACATGTTATCTCTGTCAGAGCTCTACAATTTTTTCCCTCCCGAGTTCCTCCAATGCTTGCTTACTCTCTACAGCTTCTTTAATTTATGTCGGGGTACCTCTCCTTCGTCCTCTCCTTACACTTTACAATGCACAAACATGATTATGGTGTTTCAAATGGTTGCTACAACGTGTTGCTGAGATGCAAGTATCTATTGCATACCTTATTTAAGCCGCTCGGAGTCTGAGGTGCGTAGAACAGCTTTGCTATTTCTCTAGGTGTCGTATAACTGAATTGTTCTCTTGATAGCATCAAAAGAAGCTTCGATTTTTGAGTCTGTCGAAGTTTCATACATGGCTTCAAAAAAATCCGGCATCAACGCTTCTCTATGCGATGCGGTCTAAGCACAGCTTGAACCTTTTTGGTCGCCTTGTTTGATGTTGCTACATGGGAAGTATTACTTGGGTCCGAATCGAATAGAAATTCGATCATTCGAATAAAACATTCGAATAAATTCGTATTCGAAATTTGATATTCGGAGTTCTTCCATTTTCGAATAATATTCGAAATTCGAGTAACTAAGAAAACGAGGTTGCGAACAGAGGTGCGATAGTCGGAGCCGATTCTCCGCCTATCTTCACATTTGAGCTGGTACAGGGTGACCACCTTCACTTTTGGGTTTGAAAATTTTTTTTTGCTAAAGCTCAAAAGAAGGAAAATAAGCAAAGAGAATGTAAAAGAAACTATTAAGAGCATATATCTATGAAGTAGGTCGATCCAGGCAGTAACCGCCGAGAACCAGAATTCAAATTATAAAATAGTGAAAAATCGTGAAAAATCATTCTATTGTTACAAATCTGCTGGCTGAAGATCTCCGCAGTTGCGAGATTATAGGTTTGAAGGGTAAGTATTGTTCTACCAGACAGTGAAAGAATCAGTTTGATTTGAGAAGTGGCCGCCGAGAACGAGAATTTTGAAAAACCTTGAAAATCTTCTCAATTATAGGTTGCTTAATGACAACTGACATTTAAACTCTTATAAATCCGGACTTTGAAGGTGTGTGATGTTGCGAGTTCATAGGTTTTGTAGGGTGAGGTTTGCCCTATCAGAATTTGTCTTAGCTGTACCGATCCATTGAAACATCGAGATACAGGCTCTTAAATAAGCAGGTAAACAACCGTTTTTCAGCTCATAACTTCTCCAGAACTGCATGAATCATGTTGCGATTTCATAGGTTAGATTCTCCTCTTCAAGAGCTTTCAGATGATATATAATATCTGGGGGATTCGATGTTTCTTGCGGCTCTAACCCGGGGTGGAGTACCTCTCTTCACCAATTCTCCACTGGCGGCCTCCCGCCAATACATTAAAATGGGCGGGGTGGAGAATTAGTGAAGAGGGGTACTCCACGCCCGGGCATATGCCGTGGGAGGCGTGAATCCCCCACATATTATGTATCATTTGAAAGCTCTTGATGAGGAGAATCCAACCTATGAAGGCGCAACATGAATTATGCAGCTCTGAAGAAGTTATGAGCTGAAAAACGGTTATTTACCTGCTTTATTAAGAGCCTGGATCTCGACGATGTTTCAATGGATCGGTACAGCTAAGACATATTCTGATAGTGCAAACCTCACCCTACAAAACCTATAAAGTCTCAACATCACACACCTTTAAAGTCCGGATTTATAAGAGTTTAAATGCCAATTGTCATTAAGCAACCTAAAATTGAGAAGATTTTTAAGGTTTTTCAAAATTCTCGTTCTCGGCGGCCACTCCTCAAATCAAACTGATTTGTTTACTGTCTGGTAAAACAACACTTACTTTTCAAAACCTATGAAGTCTCAACTGCGGAGATCTTCAGCCAGCAGATTTGTAACAGTGGAATCTTTTCAAGATTTTTCATTATTTTACCATTCGAAATCTGGTTCTCGGTGGTTACTGCCTGGATCGACCTAAATCTTTCACTACCTAGTAGAACAATACTTGCCCTTCAAACTACGAAGTCGCGTTTGCTGATATCTTCAATCACCAGATTTATAACAGTAGAAATTTTGCATAATTTTTCGTTATTTTATTATTCGAAATTCTGTTTCTCGGTGGTCACTGCCTGGATCGACCTACTTTCTTCGCAGTACGTTATAACAATACTTAGTTAACAAAATCCGTACAGTTCCGCTAAGTTTTACTCCGAAATACACCATTTGATAAGCACTTTTTTTAGATATTTATGACGCTGTATACATAAAAATATGCTTTCAATGATCTCTTTTGCATTTGTTTTGTTTATTTTCCGCGCACTGGCGGCAACGACCTGGAGGATAGGCTCAGTCGACGTTAACGCTCCCCCCCCCTCGGTCGACGTTTTTGGGAGGTGAGTGTCCGGCACTACCACCTTCACTTTTGGCCGGCCAGTGGTAGCTGGAACCACCTTCACTTTTGGAGGGCCCGGCTCCACCTATCGCACCTCTGGTTGCGAATAAGACTCGAAATTCGAATAATCAAAAAACGGGGTTTCGAACAGATTTTATTCGAATGTTTTGTTCGAATGTCTATTCGAATTCGTATTCGAATAAACTCCGTATTCAGATTATTCGACTTTGTTGCAGAGTCAACTGCTCCGCATTTTTGTTCCGCAAAACTCAGTAATGCATCTTTTGCAACCGTTATGACCTTTGAACTGTTATGGAGATTTGAGACTGATCAAAGACTTGAGATCAAAGATCATAATACGATTATTGCTTTTGTGGAAATCACAACAGTGGCAAATGTGCACTTGAGTAGTATACAGGTAATTATAAAAAACATCTCCATAATATGTGGAATATTTGTTTTGTTTTGGTTACGTAATGCTTACCAACAAAAAGATAGTCGCCGCAAGAAGGAGGTCAACTTCTTGAAGCAGGTAGAGGCAAGCAAGGAAGAATAATTTGGTAGAATAAATTTTTCTTTCTAGGCTGTCCCGCAAGAATGAGTTTTGTGGAAAAACTCTATGCCTACTTTCATCTACATGGCATATCGAGATGAGAACCTTTGGGCTGTTTGAGTCTCCATTTTTCCATACAGTCGCTTAGACCCTGGTTCGTTCATTTTTTTCAGAATTTTTTCCCTGAAATAGTCTTACAGAATGATTATTATTGTGCTCAATGCAGAATTTAAAAGATTGGTATCTTCATCAAAAGGGAATTTCAATTAGTTTTGTTTTTGTTTTTCAGGCACCAGCAACGCTATGATTTTTGACCATTTCAGAAGTCACCCCTCACGATACACACTCACATCTGGGAGTGGAAAGAGTCACCACAATGAATGAAACCTGAATCAAAATTTAGACTTTACTCTATATTTTGGAAGTAAAGGCAGTTGGATGCAGGTTTATGTTTCTAAAAGCGCAGACTTAAAATTTTATGCTGGTCTCTGTCTTTACATTCTGTATTAGTTAGATTTGGCTACCTATTGTATTCCTTTATACAAAGATAATGCTTCGATGCAAGCACCAATTAGGGCATGCTGTATATCATTGGATAGAGGAAAGCAAACACTGCAAGACCATACTAATCACAACCATGACTAATGAATCCTGTGAGAATAGAGGCGAAAATTCGAAGACGTAGGATTTCGACAGAGCTTAGAACTCCACCTTCCGTAAACACTGTAACACTCACAAATATTACAATATATAGTAGAAATGAACTCACATGCATTTATGCAAGGTCTGTATGGAATTTGAGCTTAATTAGCAGGAAAAATGAGATGATCGAAAAGTGGCAAATTCCGCAACTCACAACCCTAAGCTCCTCCCATCTGCACAGGCACAAGCCGCGTATGTGTGAGAGTGCAACTACAAAGTTTCGCGTTCGTAAGTGCATTACAACCCGAGAAGTAGCAATTTCCGCGTGAAAATGCCCGAAAACTAAGTTCTTACCAACACCTAATAGAAAATGGACTTGTATTGAATTGTACAGATGTGGGTTGCGTTTGCACAGTACTGTGTTGCCACGCGGGCTATTCGGCGATTACCTCAAACTTGGGTAATACCTTTATCATTCATAAGTAACAAATACAGACGCGGAAACAATATATAGAGGTAATGAGTTAGTAAGTGAGATCTGACAACATGGTAATCGGTAATGAGTTAGTAAGTGAGATCTGGCAACATTATAACCAGTGACATGAACCTGTAGGTTAGTATCTAACAACTACCTCACTACTACTAGCTATACTTGTAAGGTTAGGTAGCTACTACGGTACTTGTGCTAAATACCACTACGACTACGCTAACCCTACTCCTATACTTGTAACTACTACTATTACTACTACTACTACTACTACTACTACTACTACTACTACTACTACTACTACTACTACTACTACTACTACTACTACCACTACTACTACTACCAGGCCCGGCACAGATCGTCTGGAAACAGGCTGGACTTCGTTTTTGAAGCAAATAGCAAAGTGGATATCGTTTTCGACGAGTCGGAACCGAGCACCAAGTATAAGCGCCATTTAGTCGAACACAAGCTTTTCGGACAGGTTATCACACGATTGACATGCTCTATCGTGTGAGGCGAAAAGTGCGCGCGATTTGAAAGCAAGGCTAAAATAAACAAATTGCTTGTTTACAGCGCACACAGAAGCATGTGACACCAAAATGGAACTGTATGTATAGAAAATTATTTGCAAAAGAATTATGTAAAAAGGTTTCAAAACTTATGTGAAGTAATACCTTTTCCAAAATTAGATCGTCTCCAGACGGCCACCAGACGATCTGAGATCGTCTGGAGCATATATTTTCGTCACTTCA